ACTAAAAGAGTAGCTTTACCAAAACTGACAAGCTGCACAACCCCGTCGTAGATGCGATCCAATTTTTTTTACCATTTCTGCCTGTACTTAGAACATCCTTCTGAATATTGTTGACGGTGACGAACCGTATGATGCCATGGTGCTGGTAAAATTGAGCATCATAAGAATCTCTCATAGTTTATCATGTTTTCAGAGCAGAGCATATGTCGCAACCTTGCTTTTCATAACGAATACGTGTATAAGCAGACTCTAAAATTAGCCATTTTTGAAAGAGATAAGCTTCACCGTACTATTCGTAAAGGACGGGCATTCCGTTTACGGTTGGCACACTTTGCACTACAGCTTTGTACTATCAGGTCCAAGTCTGTGACTACAGGATAGCAGAAGGTGTTATCGCACTTTCTGATTTGTAGTAACTCTGGGCATAAATCAAATATCTCAGACGTAATCTTTAAAAAACACAAAAAATTAGCAATGGAGTGTTTTTCGCGAAAGGTTGTAATAAGTACATTTACAACGAAGTTTTTTTTTGATAAAATTTGTAAATTTGAGGGTGCTGACTTCCTTTTCCACCTCATTTTCACTTGTTTTTCTAAATAGTCGAACAATTTTTGTTTGGTTGCAGTTTTACGGAACTTCTCCCAATTTGTACTTCTTTTGAAGTTTGTCCAGCTTGGATCGTACGATTTCAAATCTGGACAGATATCTTCTTTTTAAAGTGAAAGTATAGCGAACATCATCAACCATTTACACCTAATGAAAGCACCTGTTTACTTCTAGAACGAGTATTAGTTTACCAACAAATGAGAGTATTTTCCTGAACGTCTGTTAGATGTATCATTTAACATAGTATAGTGGGAGGCAGTTGTTGTACAAGAATGAGATCTCTGACCTCTACTATGTACCTCATTTCAGAGAAGCTCTATTTTCATGATCATAGGTTATCTAGAGATGTGGGTGAAGTGATAGTAAAACTATACTGATAAGCAGTTGTTGTCATATTGAGTCACAACAAGATAGTACACAAAATTTCAGCAGTTCAACATTAGCAAAAAACGGATTATTACGGGAATGCAATTTCAAAGAATTTATATATGTGGTTCGCAAAAAGATCTTCAAAAAAGAGTCTTCTACAAAAAAGGTTTCTCCCCTTTTTCTAGAGCAAAATTTGAATCTGATTTTACCTCTTTTGCATTAAGAAAAACCATTTTACAGAACTTTATAAAATTTATTGTCATTGCACAAAATTAACTCTTAGCGCAAAATAGCCGAGCAGCAAGTTCCACTACTAGATAAAAATTGAAAGATATAAAGAGAAATTGTCGAAACTTTGATCATATTACTCTTAATCATTTCAAAACTTCCTAATAAAATTAAAACCGTTAAAAGAAACTTTCTATTGACCAAAAAAAAACTCCATTAACATCAATGGTTCCTTCCTTTGCAAAAGTTCAATAGAATTATTTCAATCTAAGCATTTTTCTAGCATAAAATCAGCACCTAGCACTGGAACTGCAGAAATTTTTATTAGTCGTGTCGCTAACAAACACATAAAACGAG